GCTGATGAAGAAATTGAACAGTGCAGGCCCCAGGACCGAGTCTCCATCTCTTTCCCACCAGAACTTGGCTGAAGCTGATGCCACCACCCACCAGCATGGCAAAAGCTTCTGCTTGGATCCACAGCTGAGCATCAGGGTTCCTAGAGAACTACAGCTTTGGCTGGGTTCTGGAGGCAGGAAAGGGGAGGGAGGGACAGAGAAGAGAAGAGAAGAGAGCATGAGACAGAGATGGAAGTGGCCCTCGGCAGGTCCCCAAAACTCATTAAGTGGCCCTCCAGCTGAAATAATTGCCAATCCCTGCTGTAAAGGAATAAGTCCTGGTTTCCTGGTTGGACCCTTGTTCCCAATGGGTCAGAAAGTTCACCACAGCACTCCTTTCCAAATCATTTCTTCCAATGACTTTTAAATAAAAAAGGTCAGTAGCTTAGCCTTTAAAAGAGTATTAGAAAGTCATCTTGATAATGCCTACCTAGGCACATCTGCATATGCTATTAATGTAATTGAATAAACTCCAGCACAGTTTGTGGTGGAGTTTATTGCTCCCAAGCACAGTGTTTACATGTGCATCTGGGACCATAGCATGTTGAGCCGGGTTGGAGCAGCCCTGCATGGCAGGGGACATGGGGGAGTCAGGTTGAGAGTCCAGGCTGCTCCAACCTGGCTCACCATGCTGCACAGGGGCTGGCTGGGGCACAAGGGTGCTCCAGTGTGGGGCTAGTTGGTAGGCAGCCTCTGCACTGCAGCACCCTCACGCCCCAGCCAGCCAGGGCAGCATCTACCCATGCACTGCTGTGGAGGATAGTATTTGTATTGACTAGTAAATTAGTTTACTTCAGCCTATTTGGGGTGCACGTATAGACACACAATGTTTACTGTGCAGCTAATTAGTCTACTGCGCAGTAAACATCTCATGTAGACATGTCCACTGAGAGCTATGGAAAATCCCACCCTGCATTGCTTAGGCCTTTGCACTTTTGTACCGCAGGAAGTAGAAGTGCCTCATGCTCTGTAACACTGATGGGTTAGTGAGATCGACAAGTGTGAAATGCCAGCTCTAGCAGAAGGGGCATAGCCATTTGCCACCCCCACCCCCCGCTCTGGATCTCTGCTAGCACTGTTTTCTTGGGATGGCTGTTGAAATAGCTCTGGCTCATGCTTTAGCCAATAATCGGTAAGTAGGACTCCCACAAACCTGGCCAACGATGCAATGTCTGCACTCTGTTGGGGAGATCAAGGGCAGGCCTTGTGACTTGGGGAATGATAGACCACGTCTGTCAGTGGTGTGAAGAAGCTGGATAGCCCTTCTCATTGCTAAAGGGTCAGTGTACAAGAATTCTTAGAGATGGCTCAGAGTGGTGCTTTCTCAGTATGCCCTGTGTGTGGGCATGATGGGATAGTCCTGAGGCTACTGAGGGTAACTCTCCATTCACGGTGCATCACCAGGCACTAGACTTATAGGACACAGGCAAGATATGAGCATGGAAACATGGCCTACTGGGGATGATTCTGAGTGCAACCACTGGCTCTCCAGTGTTGTTCATAGGGCTGATCAGCCTCTGGACAAGGCTCAGCAGAAAGACCTTTCAATTATGACCCGCATTTTTGTTAAACTTTAAAGTGGAAGAAAAAGCTACGAGGCAAAAACAGGTTCCCTTTTTTGGGACCAGCTCCAGGGGAAGGTTGAAATTTCAATGAAAATACCATGCACAGACAAAGGGAAGTGGAAGGGGGAGATGATAAGGGGTCAAAAAATGAGGCAAGTCGCATTGCAGCCAATGGCTGGGGATGGGGCGGGGAGGGGGGTTAGATGGTGCAAAAACAACTAGGAAGAAAAACTGGAGAATCCTGTGGAAAGCTTTTCTGCATTGTAGGCCTCCCAATCCAGTAGGGACGGGAAGTGTTGGTGACACACCGCCTCCCTCTGAGTACCATCCCCTAGCAATGCTAGATACAGCTCTGCACAAGCAGGCAGGAGACAGAATCCTCCTACCCCCTGAAGCAGTCTAGTTGGCAACACTGAGCGAGCATGAAGTGCTTGCAAGAGGAAATGTGACTGTGATGCTTTGAAGAAGGGGGGAAAGTGAGCATACCCCCCTTTCAAAACAGTTGTCAGGAGATGGGGGAGGGTGGGGTAGGCAAAGGGATCATCAATCAAAGCTTACATTTTATTAATCTCCCAGCAAAAAAACAACCCCCCCCAAAACCTCCCCCCAAACATACACCTTTCATCATCCACATTCCTCCTTGTCCCACCACCCACACCAGCCCATTTTTGGGGTACAAGACAGGATCATTTGGAACATCTGAACTTATATCACCCCTTTAAAAAAACCAAAACAAAACTCAAAAAGCTTAACGGCAGCAGTCTCTGCCTGGAGACCCCTTTTTGCTCAGAACATGCACACAGCAGCAGAGACAGACCATGGTCAGAAGGAAAGCAACAATCTGATGCAACCAGAGCAGTATTATTATTACTGCAGCTCCTCACAGCTTTGCTTTGTGGTTAAGATTTAAACCTGAGATTTTTTTTTTTGTCTTGTGTAGTTTGATTTCAAACTAAAAACAAACAACACAAAAAAAAGAAAAAGAAAGAAAGAAATGGAAAGGGAAAGAACGTATGTGAAAAGCCCAAAATTATACAACATTAATAACGACACACAAACAAAAACCCCTGAGGTATTAGCTTGAAAACTAGCATGACACTAAAAGGAGGAAAGCAAAGACAGCCACTGAGAGAAAAAAAAAAATGTCCTTAGCAGCAGAGGCAGTGCTGAGTCTGCCATATCAAGTCTGGGCTTCTTAGCCAGGTCAAAGTCTCCTGCTGCCTGGGAGAAACACAGGTTTTTGGGACAAGGGCTTCACTCCCCATCAGTACAGGGACTTTTGAGAGAGGGCATCAGGGAACGGTTACTTGGGCTGCTGCGTCCCTGCCTGTCCTTTCCAAATTACCAAAGCTCTCTAACTGCTTATTTCCCTGCTGGAGGTGGATCACCCTTGCACTTCAAAGACAGTAGGACCTCGTTTCCTCAGTCCATGGCAGAGTCCCTAAGGGGCCCTTCATTATTCCCAAAATAAATCAATTGAAGAATCCCAGACAGAAGGATCTCCCTAGGAAACCCTCACCCTTTGCTCCCCTGAGAGACAGATGAGGTTCCCTTGGGGTCGGAGGCCTTGCCTTCCGCTGCACAAGAATGAGCCATCACGTTCACTTCACTCTCACTAAAATGGTCAATTGACAGAATGTCTCCAAAGCAAAATAAAAGGAGAAACCCGGACAAGAAAATGGTGAAACAGATCTTCTTAGCAACACACCGGAGGAGGGAGGGAGGATGCTGGCTGCTGGACGTGGGCCTGGCAGTGAAAGGCTGAGGAGGGGGAGATGTACCCAGGCTAAATCCCAAACGTTCTGGTTTGGTTTCAAGCCTTTCGGTCCACTCCCTTCCTTTACATCTTCCCCAAAATGGCCATTCAGTGGATGCTTTCACTGGCTTCACCTTTGTCTTCAGATGGCTCTCTCCCTGCCTGCTGTCACTCCTGCTGAGACTCCCACCCTGGATACCCCCTTACACGTACGTGTGTGCATGTACACACGCACACCCACGTGCGCACACATGGAGAACTGGTACTGAAATACCGAGCAATACTTCACACTGACCTCCCCATCTCCCGTCCCCCCGAGGTCACCAGCTAACACTGTCTTGCAGGGAGGAACCTCAGAGCCCCGCTGGGGTTCGCTCTGCTACCCCAAGAAATAACTCCATGCTTTCCTCGGGATGAGGCTGTTATTTCTCTCCAGAGGCCTCAGGCCTCTTCCCTTCAGGCAGTAACACTGGAAGGGCAACAGTGGAACCAGGGGACCTGGAAGGGCAGGGAGGGCTCACTATTTGTCTTCTCACTTGCTCCTAAGGGGAGAATGAGCTTAGGGAAAGGGCACCAAGCCCACAGGGGACAGTTTTCCTAACACTGCCCAGGACAGGATGTTGCACCCTGACCAAGACTTCTCCCCAGCCCCTGATCTCCACAGCACCCTCATTTCAGGCAACCCCGAACCCTCCCTCAATGATCTTAAGAGTCTCCGGCAACATGTCCACAGGACAAAGCCAGCTCTTTCAGCCCAGAGAAGGAATTGTTCTGTGTCTGCGATGGAGACTGGAGAGAAACATATAAGAACCAAGAGGTAAAGAAGAAACTTTTAGGAGGGATTTTCCTGGCTCAGTTTGTGTTGTAAGGAGATTATTTTGTTTTTTTTAAAAAGAAAACCACACAAAAAAGATATTTTCCTGTCCCATTTTTGCCTTGCCCAGAGGGATATCTTTGTCGCCGACAAGTGCTACAGAAGGAGCCACAGGCCTCAGATATTGCTTAGAAACTCGTGTTTCAGATTTAAATACCATACACAGTAAAAATAGAGCTGAAAGTACCGCCCCACATTGTCTGCAAATCATTGCCAGAATGAACAGCTTCAATAAATTAAAAACAAACAAAAAAATTGAAATATTATTTACGTCTCAATAAAAATTGCAGTAAAACCATTTACTTTTTTTCTTTGTGTGTGTGTGTTTTTTATATTATATATAATATATATTTATATATGTATAGGGCCGCTCTTGTGCAGCATTATTAGCATATTTAGCCAGAGAAACACAGGGGCACATGCTTAGTGCATTGAGGGGGAAAAAAAAGAAGGGCAAACATCCCCAATGGGTTTCCCTGTTCCACCCCTGGGAGGGAACTGCCAATTTTCCATCCCCCCAGCCTGACAAAAGGGAAGGGAGCAGGGACAAGCGATGCTTCTGCCCTGTCCCATGGGTCAGGAAATTGCTGTGCTCTGCACAATGACCAGCACCCCTCTTTGATTGCTTATCTGCTGCTCAAAAGAAAAGCAGTTCCCCTCCCCACCCTGAACTTTAAGCTGAGAATTCAGCTGTTGGATACTCGGATATCAAGAGTCTGCATCTCATTCCAGCTGATAGTCAGCTAGCTCCCCCATCACTCCCGCAAGCCATTCTCTGCACGTGGGAGCAAAGGACTCAGATGGGAAAGGGTTTGTCAGCTCCTCTCTCCCAAAAGGGAAAGTGGCTGGGGTGGGGTAGCTTGGGTGGAGGGAGGGAGGGGATGGCTGGGGGGAGGAGTGGGAAGAGGCACTAAGCTTGGACCATCATGTTTCTTGACTTTGGATTCATTCGTCTCTGCTTCTGTTTTGGCGTGTGTGCACCTGAAAATACACACACCGATATAAATACTCCTCCCCTCCCTGTCCCCCACCCTGCCACCCCACCTTGCCTTATCCCCATTAAATATCCCACCCTGCCCCAGCTTTCCAACTTCCTGGATCAATGTCAGGACACCTCAATGATTTCCATGCTGCCCGAAAAGCTAGACTGTTTCCCGATTTTGCCCAGGTCTTCCCGGGACCTGCCCTCTGACATGGTCTCCTCGAACTCCATTTGGCAGCTCCTCCTCTTGAACTGCTTCTCGGTGTTGGCATCCTCATGCCAGCTGTGCCGCCCGTCCCTCTGCTCTGCCCTCTGCTTGTCTCTCAGTCTGATCTCACAGCTGCTCTGGATGGTGTTGCAGCTGAATGAGGAGTATGAGCTGGCGCTGGCAAACAGGGCTGCGTTCCCTCCACCACTGCCACTGCTCGCCGTTGAGTCTGTGCCAAAGTACCAGGGGGTCTCTGAAGATGGGGTGCTGGGTGACTCTAGGTGCACGCCCCAGGAGCCAACCCCCCCTCCGCCGGTGGAGTTCGGTGCTGCAGCTGGCTGCATAGGCTGCTGCCCTGTATTGGGGAGGCTCAGCCGTAGTGTCTGCTTGAGGCTATCCTCCACACTGGTGCTTTTGTGCATGGTACACATCCCGCTGAAGTTGAGGCTCAGTCCATGGGCGGGGGAGCCCGCCTGGTGCCTGTGCTTTCGCCTCTGCCGCACCTTGGCCTCCAGAAGGAAGTCTGGCCCACTGGGCCAGTCAGGGCTGTCAGGCACGGGTGAGAACTGGCACATGCCATTGGGTCCAGAAGGGCTGTCCAACTTGCAAAGCTTGGGGGTTTCCCCTGTGTCGACAGGGCCTGGGGCATCCTGCCTCAAGCCAGGGGAATAGGCCGACTTGATGTCCAAGGAGAAGGAGCGCTTTAGTCGGTTGGTGTCTTGAATGCGCTCTGAGGACAGGTGCAAGCCATTGAGTCCTTGCTGTAGTGCTGTGGGTGAGACAATTTTGGGAGCTCCTGCAGGCCTCTCAGGGTCACTGGACGGGGGCACTGAGCTTGTGCTTTTTGGTGTCTCCTCGGCCTTGTCTGAGGTAGGTGTCGGGTGCCTGCTGCTCTCAGGCACCTCAGCTGTATCTTGTGGGGCATCACCCTCACTCCGATCGCCTTGGGCCTTTAAAGCCTTGAGGAGTTTCAGGCTCCTCTCGTACTCCAGGAGCTGGCCCAGGAAGTTGAAGTTGGGCGATATGGACGGGCGTCGGTCTTTGACAAACCTGCAGGTGCAGACAAGCAAATAGTCGTAATCATCATGGGATCTTTCACCTACCAGTCAGGATGCCCTTGCTCAGGATGCATCACTGGTGTCCAGAGCACTCTGCCAGAACTTCAGCAGAGCAAGGGGAAATCACAACAGTGCCTCACGGCAGCCTGGATAGGTAGACAGCACTCCCTCTAAGCTGCATGGCGTGTGTGGCTGCACAGGTGCGCTCATGCCACACTGCCAGGCGTGCCTATGTAGCCGCGCACACCGCGCAGCTTAGAGGGAGTACTGTAGGTAGATCCAGCACTGCTTAGATTCCAGATTTCTCTCTTTCCACCAGTTCTCTTTATGGACATAATATTTTTAGAAACCACTCCCAAAATGACACCATTGTGGTGTTAGCTGGCCAGGTCAAGGTTACTGCTGCTTGAAGCTGGGCCCACCACTTCCTCTGAATGGGACAACAGTGAGGAGGAAGGTTGCATGCTGCCACCCTGGTAGTGCTATATGGAGTGCGTCCCAGTAGGGGCACAGCACCTCTTGACAGGTAATATAGTCCTGGTAACACTCAGGAGATTCACTCCAGACAATCTTTGGAAAGCCTCTCTTACAGCCTCACGCCTCCTAGGCCCATCTTATTTCCCTTTGTGAAGGTGAAGCTTGGTAGTGATCTTCTGTGCTTCCTTCTTCTGGAGAGCACCTACCTGTAGGCGTCATCTGAAGACATGCCCATAGTCTTCATGATATAAGCAATGGCAATGGTGGCTGAGCGGGAAATCCCTGCTAAGCAGTGTACTATCACCTGGCAGCTGGACACCTTGGCCTTGTCTGCAGCACAGGACAAGAAGCAGAAAAAAAGCAACTTTCAGTGTGATGTCCCCAGAGACTGTGGACAGACTTATTCTATCCTCACTCTCCACCCACACACATGGGCTCCAGTGGGGACTGAGTCACGACCTTTGGGCTCCATTGGTTTTGGTGCTGACTCACTGTGGGACCTAGGGCAAACCACCTGACTTCTCTGTGCCTTTGTTTCCCCATTTGTAATACAGGACTAAGGACACTGGTCTTTGAGTCTCCCTTAGACCTTCATGAGAAGCTCCCTTTAATTGTGTACAGTGTTACCATTTGTACAATGCGCTCACTGGGGTCACATGTTAGAAACAGCCTGAGTTCTGGTGAAGATGCCGGGCTGCCTGTCCTGGAGACCAAAGCCTTAGGCTGAGTCACAGAAGGGCTATAACCTGACTGGCCACAAAGCAGACATCCCTCACAAACTACCCTGTCAATAGGATTCTGGGCTGACTTAGGGGTGGGACGGGGATGTTCATTCTCCATGACCCATCCTGCCTTTGGCCCCTCTGCCAAAGCTGTTAATCAGCAGTGGTTTTCCTGGTGGAGGTATTGGCCAAATGAAGTCAGTGTTTCAGTTCCAGGAGAACTGTTCCTTCTGCTACCCGCTTCTCATTGCCCAAAGGCCAGGGATTGGTCTGGACTGAGGAAGACAGCAAGTCTCTGAGGTGATGGGCATGTCTACACATGAAATTAGTGCACATGAATAAACTCCAGGGCTTACTGCTCTGGAGTTTTTTGTTCCTGGGTGCACCATTTGAACATGCACCCAGGAGAAATTAATTCTGGAGCAGCTCTGGAGTTTATTCATGCACAGCACGTGGAGCTGGGCTGGAGCAGCCCCAGCTGGCAGGGGGCCCTGGTGGTCAGCCTGCCAGCCCAGGGCTGCTCCTGCCTGCTCCATATGATGCAGAGGGGCTGACTGAGGCACAAGGGAGTTTTTTACTCTGCAGCAGGATAGTACTTGTATATACTAACCTGCTGTGGAGTAAATTCATTTACTGTAGCCTAATATCTGCACACATGTAGATGCTGAAAGCACGCATTGTACTTTGCACATAGCTATGGGTGAAGGGGCATGGGCGGTTTGAACAAGAAAATGAGGGAAGAAGAGTCTGTGCTTTGTAACTGGCAAAGACAAGGAATGCGGAGCCCATTCCCAGTTCCTGGGGTCACTGTAACATGGATAACACTTAAGATGAAGCTAATAAATAAAGGCCCAGCTATTCAGAGAGCTGTCTCACCAATGAACTCAATGGACTTGTCCAGCCAGGGAAGCAACTTCTCACAGTAGTTGTCATTGACAGGAATGCGCATGAAATGACTATCACAGATGAAGTCAGGCTTGGGGCAGGAGTTGCTGGCATTGAGGACGTAGCTTATCCCGTTCTGAGTCATCAGGTCCTGGAGAGAAAGAAGTGACTGGGTGATGTGGTGTTATAGAACGGGATCTGAGCATGTTAAAGGCAGCATAGCTCTTAAAATAGTGGTTGCTACTCTATTTTTGTAGCCATTGTTCCTAGGTGAAACTTCATGAACAATGCTCCTTTGAGTTCCTAACCATTCTGTCCTTCCCTTATGTCTCAGAGTTGTGGGAGGGGAAAGAGTAAGAATCCAGGGGCTAGAGACAGAGTGGGAAATGATGATGAGGATAAACAAAACAATATCTGTTGTACATGAACTCTCAGAAAAGATTGTTTTGGGGGATTGAGCACCTCACTGGGAGATGTATTTGCTACTGGAAACAAACAATGCATTCATTTATCAAAGTCAGCCCATTTTCTCTGGTTCTAAATAGCCTGCGAAAAGCCTGCTGTTCAACATTTTTCACTAGCTGGTTTACAGAAGTCAGTGTAAGCCTATGAGCGGCTTAAAAACTGGTCGCAGCCAAATACAGTTCCGGGCACTGGCAACCGGCAATTCAGAATATAAGCTGTTTTGGTTGGGACACATAGCAGTCATGTGATGCATTTCAGTTTACTTCCTGGTGTACTGCTTCCTTATTGTAATCATGGCTTTGGAGGAAACACTTGGGATTAATCATTCTGGGACTGGTTTTGTGCAAGTGATAATCATCTCTACCACGAGTTCTGATTCCTTTTGCCTGTAGACCAATACAGCTACAACCTGAATTCCTCAAACATGGAAGATAATGAATTTCACCATTTTTAAAATGAAAACTTCATAATTTTACAAGAAGAAAGCAAAAATCAACACTTTGACACATGGAAGCTGACACCCTTGCTCCTGCCAGCTAAATTTGCACTTTTACAGAGCACAAAGCTGCCTCAACACAAGAGAAATTCCTTACCCAGGAGAGCATTTAATCTACCCACCCTCCTGTGAAATATAAAATATTATAACCAGAAGGAAATATAATCCTACATCCTGTTTGTCATCAGATAACTTCGAGATAAATAGACTGCTCTAACTTTTATCTGAGCCTAATTTGCACAATATGAACTTTTCCAACCAGGATATCTTACAGCACCTTCAGAGTTCCTGTGAAATATGAATTTTCATTTCCACCTAGGAGAAATTTTACAATCTTTACATTGAAGAAGGGTGAGTGTGCCTGAAAGCTTGCAAATAAAGAATTTGTTTTGCAGATATCTAGTTGGTCTAATAAAAGAGATAATCTCTACCATGAGTTCTGATTCCTTTTGCCTGTAGCTCAATATGGCTACAACCTGTATCCCTGCCATAGCCACTTAATGTTCCCCATTTGCCTACATGTTTGTGGAAATTAAATGCAAAAAGAGGTGGTGGGGGGGGGATGCAGTCAGACAGGGAGCATTCATGGATCATTCAAGGTCATGGAGCACTGACCTCGTCTTGCTCACAGAGCAGATGCCTGTACACCAATCTCTAACCCATCTCAAGGGCTAAGCAGTGCTAGTGTGCCACAAGGCACCACAGCACAGAGGTGAATGCAGCCTGTTGTTCCTCCCATGCTCAAAAATTCAAATTACATTGCCTGAAACAAGGGGGATCATCTGTAACTCATGGGATTCCGGTGGTTGGATCTTAAAATTTATTGTGTTACTTTGGAGGACGATACAGGATTAAACAGGAGGGAAAAGCAGTTGGAAATAAAAATCACCATGGAAGAGAGAGTGATCTGGGAAAAAAAAGGAGAAGAGAACCTCCTCCATCACAGGGTGAGCCCTTCAGTATGGCAGAAGCCAGGCAGGTGGAGCCAGCATGAGGAATGAGTGGGATTGTGATGAATGGGGTCAGTTGTGCATATCCATGGCTTTGGGGTGCTGAAGCATCACAGAGTTGCTCTCTGCAAGCTCATCCTCATGTTTGGTCATGATTTTTAATGCTCCAGTGGCCACAAGGTACCTATCATCTCAGTGCATGGGGTGGGAGGAGAAAACAACTCTTGCAGTGAAGGAGTGAGTAAAAAGCCAATTCAGGGATTGGGAAGGGGAAGAGGGTACTGAAAATGACTTAGCCTAACATACAGGAGATGCATCTGATATTTTGCCTCAGGATTCTCTGACCATTTGATTCACATCGTGGGTCTTGTCCTAACTATGCTTACATAAGAGTCTGCTCCTCAGCAGGCTCCGTAGAAGCCTAACCTCAGCTCTAGAGAGCCAGCCTGGCTCCCAAGCTCGCATTCCTGGCGTGTTTCTCTTTCATTTCCTTCTACTCCCTGTATATAATTTCTCTCTCTCCTTTCCACGTCCACCCCCACTACCCGTCAGATGCTTCTACCCTGGCCCACTCCCCCCGCACTGCCCCGGGCACGAATGGCCGGCCGGCTGGCTCCCCCCTGCTCTGCGGTAGGTGCCCGTTGGAATTTTAACTACAATTTCTGTTTCTTTCTTCTCTTATTTGTTTTTTTCCCCTTTAAACAAAATTCCTTCCTTGAAGTGACATCACTGCCCAAACACTCTGGCACCTTTAAAAAGACAGTGCCCCTCTTTTCCCTCCTTTCCTTCCTTCCCAAAAGCAAATCTTTGTCCATTTTCAGGCCCCGGCTCCCAACTGTTGCTGCTCACCCCACCCCTCACTCCTACACCTAATTGTCTGAGCTTAACTCTCCTCCCTCTGGCTCCCGAGCTGCTCAAGAAGTGGCTGAGGGTAGTATTAGTCTTATTAGTCTGGTTGGTAGGAAGGAGCAGTGAGAGAAGATGGCTTCCCTGCTGCAACTCTCTCAGGGCTTCCCTTGGAGTGAGGTCCTGGTGCTATTCTCTGCTCCCTTGCAGCTTGGATTCCACCTCCTAACAGATCTACTTTTCCATACATTTTCCTGACTATGCTTCCTTGCACTTTGCTGCTGTTAAGTCCAGTGCTAAGAGCAATTGCGAAGCTCCCATCACGATGCAGAGGAAAGGCATGCCGATCCCAACCTCCTCAGGACTACATCTCGGCAGGACAATAGCAAAAATTTAGCAAGACTCCTGCCAATCTGAAGGCCCTCTGTGTATGTGTGCTGCTGCTCCTTATTGGGGTTGGACCGGCAAAACCATTAGACAGACCACTGAAAGTTACAGGCACACTAGTCTCAAACTGGAAATGAGCTATCTTCCCCACCTGTGTGAGCAGTGCCACCCCTGATGTATGAAAAGAGCAAAACCAGGCATAGGGTTGGTGTGTCTCTTTGCCAGTGAGGATGTGTACCTTGTTTAAGACGTCTTTCTGGGAGCCCAAGTAGAGATGTGGCAGGATGCGGGTGGGACCAACGTTGGCTACTGGCAAGCATGGCTGGGAGATACTCATTGGCAAGATGGCAGCTGGCTTCCCCTCACAGAGGCCTGGGAAGCAAGAGGAGAAGGTGGCAAAGCCCCCTGTGGAGAGAAGGAGATTTAGATTATACACTCTTTAAGGGCAGGATTTGTCTCTCACTCATTGTATATACAGTGCCTAGCACAATGGGGCTTCGAACATGGTCAAAGTCACTTTGTGCTAACATGCCACTAATCTGAACACCATGTTGGGCATCTGACACAACCACAGTCAAGCATGATCTCACCAGCCCCGCTGGAAGTTTTAATGCTATGACAACTGTGCGGCATCTCTCTAAACCAGCCAGCATATAACTGAGATTCAAGATTCCAAGCAACACCCTTAGCCCTTTCCTTTCCTGACTGTATTTGGGTGTTACAGCACATATAATTCCAGCAAAATCCTACACTCTGCTATTTCTAACTTGATTGAAGGCATCCTCTTCATAATTGCAGTGGGGTAAATTGCTCTTCACGCATCCACCTACTATGCTGAAGATGATCAAGTGTGGTTTTCCTTAACAAGCAGGACACATCCATCACGGTCAGTGACTATGGAGCTGAAGTGTAGAAAACCAAGCATCACAGCAGTGGGCATTATAAACTTATAGTTAAATACAAACACACTGAAAGCAAAAAGGAGAATTTTGGGTCGGCAAGATCTCCGTTAGAATCTGGCCACACCACCAGGACTAACTCACTTCTTCTTCTGAAGGGGGCCATAGGATCTTTAGTGGCTATAAGTGGTCAGCGCCCAGCTTTTGAGTTACCCAGAAGACAGCAATCCACCAGCCTGGAAGCTGTTTGTACTGTACTGGCTGTTTTTTTAAGGACAAGGGTCAGTTAAGCAATCCCCATCACCCCTTCTGACAAGGCTCAGCCATTCCTTGGAGCTCTTCAATACATCCA